AGGAAGACCCACAACCAGGTGGATCAATACAGTGACTGCAGCAATGGGTTTGAGTGTTCAGAGATGGTAAGGATGCCACAGGACAGGACAGGGTTCAGATCTGTTGTTCATTGGGTCACTATGAGTCAGAATCTTCTTGATGGCACTTAACAACAACACCACCAACAATGAGGCAGGCACATTATTCATCTTACAGCAACACTATATAACAGGTTGAAACCTTGACAGTTCCTGCATTATCCTCACAATTCCTAATGTGCTTAATTATTGTTGTTCTCACTGTGTCAGTCCATCCTTTTGAGGGTTTCTCCCTTATTCACCATGCCTCTCTAAAAAGAACTTTTTAATAAATCCTTGTAAGTTTATATAACACAGATAAAGTAGAGCAAGGTTGTTAGCATGTCATCAGCTAAGTACCAACAAGAAGTATGTTGAGAAAGGAAATCCAAAATCTCGTAAATGTTTATTAAAATTAATAAACACACACACAACCCAGAAATTAATTCATCACACAATATATCAAACTGCACTTCAAGAATCAGAGGAATGAGAAGACCTCCTTCTCATCTCCTGCTGTAACAAGGGACGAGATTCCGTTACTGAATGCAGATCATGGGGCACCGGAAGGAAAATAAGGAATTGGAAATTATTGAGTTAACACCAAATGTTGTTCTGGTTGATTAAACTTGGAACTCTGTGCCAGAAGTGAGACTGTTATATAGTTTATGATAACAGATATTCTAGAATTTAAATTTATTAAACAAAACCAAATTTAATTTCAGACCTTCAAAGTCTGGGTAAAAATCATGGAAGTTATACATATCTTATACTTGTTTCCAAGGGAAGTTTAGAGTGGAGAAAGGACTATACTTATGTCCAAATATCTGTACTTTTCTGAAATTTTGTCTCAGTCTTGAGAACATATGATTTGTGAAAATGTTTACTTCTAATATATTTTTATATTAATAAAATATATAACTTTAAATTTGGTGCTCAATTTCTTATATTCTTCTTAAGGATGACTTTCAACCTCCAAGAGCAGCTTTATTGGCTTACTATGCCAATTGCCTTGGGATTATGTCAGTCTTTTTCAAATGGATGATCAGGTTCTGGGATTATCAGGAAAATATTACATACATAAAGAATTAAGATTCTAATTCAGTGACTGGGGTAATGGGGTAAGTGTGTCAGAGACTGAGATTGGCACAGGATAGACCAAGGCTTAGGGCTATTGTACATAGGGTTGCTATGAGTTGTAGGTGACTCAACGGCACAACAACAAGGTAAATTTGGGATAATTTATACAATTCCTGACTTAAAAGAGGAGGCAAGTGAGGTCGAAGTTCATCTGCTGATTCAAGTGCACGCAGGTACTGCCTCATCTTTGTTGTCTCCTCCAAGCACTCACCTCCCACGTGGCACAGATATCCACTGTGTCAAATAGTGGTTTTCCATGTTCATCTGTTGGTATCATCGCTTCTCCAGGCTGAAAGAAAAGCAATCAT